AAAAAAAAAAAAAGCCCCTACTATTCCACAATAAAAGATCTTACTGGGCAATTCCTATAACTTATTATACATATCCCATATTTAAGACCATAAAGAAATAGTTATAACTTATTGCATGAAAAAAACAGATTCGATAACATTGTAGGTATTTACTGCAAACTCTATCATGTATGTCTAAGCAAAGAATAGCATTAAAATCCATTGAAAAATCAATGAAATTTCAGTAAGCATAAATGATAAAAGTGTAAAAATCGCTGCATTTAATACAAAAAAAGTTTGTTGGAGAGTATCTGAGAAACATTGAAGCTTTGAACGTTTTCTGAGTTAATATTGGCTATATTCATTTCTGGGGAATGTGCTAGGGTTGTACCAGGTCACAAGGACGCAAAATGTTTATGAAGAAGACTTTGTACTTAGGGGATTGTAGATTCGATTGGGAAAGCAGGCACATATATATGAAAGAAAAAAATAACAAAACACATTTATATATGTTGAGTGCCAAATTAATAATGAAAACAATAACTAGAAAATTATCATTAGAAGGGTTTAAGATTTTTTTAATATATTGATGACACCTTGGCCTCATGTGTAGCTTCTGGGTTTTTGTTTAGTCTTGTTTTTAAAGTTTTTTTTTTGTTTTATTTCAAAATATTAAGGGGGATACCTATGTTTTGTTTTGTGGATGGCTGGTATAATGCTTCAGTTGGGGCTTTTAGTGTGCCCATCACAGAATAATGTCCTTGTAGCTGATAAATAAATTTCTACCACCACCCCCTTCATGTTTCCAATGTCCTTTACAACTCTCTGTGCTGTGGGAGCCCGTCATTTAGCTCCCAGTTATTCGAGAGGGTGTGTGGTGGTGGTTTTTCCATTTGGGTCCTATTAAATAACCCAAATGCTGCCTACCTCTTGAAACTTTGGACACCTACACTTTGTTTTGTTTTTGTTTTGAGACAGAGTCTCACTTTGTTGTCCTGGGTAGAGTTCTGTGGCATCAGAGCTCACAGCAACCTCAAACTCTTAGTCTTGAGCAATCTTCTTGTCCCAGCCTCCCAAGTATTTCGGACTATAGGACTGTGCCACTAAGCCCAGCTAGTTTTTCTAGGTTTTTTTTTTTTTTTTAATAGTAGAATTGGGGTCTTATTCTGGCTCAGGCTGGTCTCTGAGCTCCTGAGCTCAGGGAATCCACCTGCCTTGGCTTCCCAGAGTGCTAGATTCACAGGCGTGAGTCACTGCTTGGCCCAGCTATACTATTTAAAGGCCTTTCTGTCCACTCTTGGGTGGATAGTCTTGAAAAGGGTGCTAACTTGGACAGGCTCACATGTGCTCTAAGCTGGCCTGAGAGCCATCTCTTTCTTCTCTTCAAAGTTAGTGGTTGGCCTCCCTGTCGCTTTTCATGTTCTGTTCTTCTCAATCACTAGTATTCCCTGAATGAATTCAGCACTGCCTGTGTTTAGAGCCGTGTTAGACTGTGGCCATCATGGTGAACAAGCCAGTTTCAGAGTATGCGCTTCATGGAACTTGCATTCTTGGAGAGGAGAAAGTTTTTTTTTTTTTTTTGAGAGGAGAGAGGTATTAAATCTATGGCTTAAAAAAATTTTATACTATTTTTCATGCTTCAAAAAATACATATTTTTATATAAATCTTGCTTATGGCAACAAATCAAACAACATACAGGTATGCTAAGGAAAAAAATAATCTTTTGCCCTAATCCATCCAATTTGTGATGAAACCGTTCATTATGAAGGGTAGTTATAAAATTAAAGAGAAGGTTTCCTGGGGCACCCACCTGGACTGAGGGTTGGAGGAGCATTTACGCAGAGAGTAGTTATTAGGCTGGTAGTGAAGGAGTGAGCGTAAGGTCATTTCTGGCAGAGGGAATACATTAGCCAGGTCCTGATGTAGGAAGGAGCATATCAAGTTGGGACATGAGCTGCCGGACCGTAAAAAGAAGTGGGGAAGCGAGGTTAGTAAGATGAGGGG